ACGTGAAGATGTGAAGGCAGCCTAAAAGGAGGCTTTGCCTCTGCTGTTCCGAGCTGTCTGACAATAACCAAAGCACAAACCAATTCTTAAAAGAAAACGTACTTGAGATTCCCACCACCCACTTCCCCCCTTTGCCACTAAATAGGATGAAAACTAGAATAAGAGCCAGAGCCTCGCCGCTATGCCTAAGCCAGAGCTGCTTTTCTCAGGCCATGCGTGACAATTCCCAACACAGAAGTGCAAAGAACTCCTGGGTGGAGGAAACAAGCCGCAGCACAAGCGGAGGTGACAGGTTTTCAGGAAGATCAGTCCTGGTCACAAGGTCAGGGAGGACAGCGACCATTCGGCATTATTCTCCTAACAGGACTAACAGGGTTACACGCACCTTTCACCACTGAAGAGGATTTCGGATTTTTGGGACCTCCGAGCAGCCACAACGTTTCGTGACAGCCATAAAAATAATTTCAATAGGAGGAAAAGGGTGCTGATACCTACACTGGTACAAATATTGCTGCGTGTTCGATTTACCAGGAATTCAGTTTTTACATCAAGGTACCTTACTTTAAATTTGCGTCCTGAATTCTTCCAACACATGGTAGAAATCAAAACTGGGGGAGTTTTAAGCACTGAATGCCTAAAACCCTGTAAGAATAACACTGCCCGTGGTCGTAATAGAGGAGAGAAAATCCTCAAAGAGCTTCACTGGAAGCTGAAGGGGAAGGGTCGAGCGTGCATCATCTCCCCTATGTAAATCAGCAAGTAACTGAAGCTTTCCAGGGAGTACTTTTCCCTAAATAGAAATGATCGCGAGGCAAATATTTCCCAGCGTAAAAAGGCTACAAGTATTCAAATACATGCTTGTATTTAAGTTGCTTCAAGAGTTCCTACTGCACTTCTTGGGAAATCCACTTGGCCTTTTTCTTCCTGCTAAAATTTACTCCTAGAGATTTGCTATAGCATCAGAATGGGAATAAAGTTCAAAAACTACTGCAGACTCCAGCTGCACACAGACAATCACATTCCGATGAATGGACAGAAGGAAAGGTGCAGACAAACGTAGATTTGTAAATATTTACACACATTAGCCTACAAAGCAACCGGGGCACATGGGCACTGCCCAGAAAAGCATGCTAAATATTGTTATAAGAGAGCATTGAGTAAAGCAAAGCCATCTTCATCATTTTTTTGGCCTCTACCGTTCAGGGGAGAGCTCAGAGTTCCTCAGACATCCCAAAGAGCATGACAACAACACAGGCACACAAAGGTAGGTCGGGCCCCGCCAGTTCCCCCCTCCTTGCTCAAACCCTTTGGTTTGGCACTAAATGGCACGGGGAGGGGGTTGCAATCGCTCAGCATCCTGGAAAAATTAATGTACAGCCAGAAAAGGCAGGAGCCACGAGGTTTAGCGGGCAATTTGTAGGAATATGTACGAATATAAATAACAGGCAGATATATGTATATATAAAAATAAATAAATAAAATCACATGACTCCTACAGTGTTTCTAAATGAAATGAACAGTTACAGCTTGCAAACTTTGGGAAGCGATGCTGTCTGCCTTTCTGGAATCGTCTGCACTGCTTGTGTTGCCCTTTTTTTTTTTTTTTCCCCCAATCCCACCGCGGGTTTTTATTTTAATTAAAAAGCCCCACCCAGCAAGGTAAAGTCCCGTCAGTTCGCAGGGCAGGAGAGGAGCAGGGGGTGCTCGTAAAATGGATGCAGCAGCTCCTGCTGAAGAGCAACATGTTGCAATCACCTTTCATTTTAGGGGAAGGGAGGGAGGGATTCCCTGAAAGGAACAGGGCCGGGGAGCCGTTGGGGGGGGGGGAAGGGAGCGATAAAAACGGCTCGGGGATTTCTTTAACCCCCAAAATAAATAAAACCCCCTCGGCTTTCCCGAGCAGGGGCTGGGGCCGGGCTCCCCGGCAGGAGGGCGGCTGAGGAGGAGGAGGAGGAGGAGGCGGAGGAAGAGGAGGAGGAGGAGGAGAAGGAGCCGAAAGCCACACAGCAAAGCGAGGAGGAAAAAAAAGAAAATGGCGCAGAGACTAAGTCCCGACCGTCGACAAGGCGACTTTCCAGCGAGGAATCGGGGCCCAAAAACGGCTCCGAGGGGGCCGAGAGGAGCCCTGGGGAGCCGGCGGTGCCCCCGCTAGGGGCTGAGGGGGCGGTGGGGAGCCGGGGGGGCCGGGAAGGGGGCTCCGGGGGCGGCTGGATGGGAACAATGGGGCCGGGGAGCGCGGAGCCGGGACTTAGTCTCTGGGACGCCATGTCTGTGTGTGGCTGCGGCCGGGCCGGGCCGCCGCGCTCACTCACCGTTGGCTCGGAAATCCGCCTCGATCTGCGGGGAGAGGAGACAACGGAGAGCCCGTGAAAACAGCCGTCCCGGCAGGGGGGCAGCCCCCCCCCTACACCCCGTGTACCCCCCTCCTTTAATTTCTCCCCCCCCCTTTTAATTCACCCCCCCCCCCCCCCACCGCCACCTTCATCCCCGATTCCTCCCTCCCCCTTTTAATGATTTTTAATTCAATGCCCCCGCGAGCAGCGCCATGCCCGAGGTGTCCTTCACGGCGGGGACCCCCCCCCAAAAAAAAAAAAAAATTAAAAAAAAATTTAAAACCACCCCGGGATGGGGATGATGGGGGGGGATATGGGGAATAGGGGGGATGGGGGGTTCTCCCCAACGCCCCCTGCCCCTCTCCCCGCTGCCCCCCAGCGAGGACCCGTCCCCCGGGGGGGCTCAGCGAGGGGTCTGGGGGGGGCCAGGCCGGCTTGACAGGGCTCACCCCAACCCCATGGGTCACCCCCTAGGGGGGCAAGCAGGGGGCAGCACCGGGCCGCGAACCCCAGCGCTGAAAGGGGGCAGCGAGGGGGGGGGGCTCTGCAGGGACCCCCCCCCAAAAAGGGCGGCGAGGGGCTGGGGACCCCCGGGGCACGGGGGGCGGTGCGGGGGCGCTCACCTGGGAATCGTTGTGCAGCTGGTCCCCGCTCATGCCGGAGGGTGCGGGAGCAGGAGCGGAGCAGGAGCAGGAGCGGAGGGAGGAAGGGAGCCGAGCCGAGCCGAGCCGAGCCGCCGGGGACGCGCGGAGCGGGGACGCGCCGAGAGCGCAGCCCCTGGCTGCCCAGCCGTTGTGTAACAGACGCTAAGTCCGACTTTCGGCGCACTGCGCAGCCGCGGAGCCTTTTACCCAAGGGGCGGGGCCGAGGCAGTGTTAGACAGAACGCCGGGGCGGGCGCCAGGAAACGGCGGCTCTCATTTGCATACAGGCCCCGCCACCGCCGGGTGGATTTACATACAGGCCACGCCCCCCTCCCCCGCCGCCGTCCTCACGCTCCCTCCGAACGCCGCCGACTCGCCCGCCCCCCTCCCGCGGGGATTTTTACATATCCGGCCCCGCCCCCTTCCTCCCTCTCCTCCAATCGCGCCGCGCGAGCTGCCCCTCATTTGCATGCTCCGCCACGCCCCTCCCCGCCGCCGGACGAACCCGCGGCATTGTGTAAGAGCCCCTTCCCCCGCTGCGCATGCGCCCCGCCCCACCCCTGCAGGGCTCTCTTTGCATCCCGGGCCCCGCCCCCCGGCGCTGGCCCCGCCCCGCACCGCCGAGGGAAGATGGCGGCGCCGGGCGGTGGGGGGGAGGTGTGGGGCGGCCCCTCAGCGGATCCCGCTTTTTAAAAGGGATCAGCCAACAGTTTTATTTTTATTTTATATTTTTTTTCTCCACAATACGAACAGGCCTTTTAATTTTTCCTCCTGTGAGGAAACTGAGTGTAAAAAGACAACAAAAGCTTCATTTTCCTGTAGCTGTACAAAGCACGGACCTTCCCACAACAACCCAGCCCCATAACCCCCAGCCCAGCCCCGTCAGAGGACATTGCTCCTGGTCTGGGGTTTCCTTTCGCTCTGCTGTGTGGCAGGTTCAGTGCCCGTGGCCTGTTCGTGGCTCCCAGGGCTGCCCCCGGTCTCGGAGCTTCCCCCCTGCACCACAGCACACCCTGCACCTTTCCTCCGCTTCCACACGCAAGCAGAGCTTTGGTTTGACACTAAAATAATCCAGCCCTGCCAGGTTATCTGAAGAGATACATCAAAATGTAACAGGGACAGCAGCCACCTATTTGCGCTGCATATTTATGTGCCACAAAGGGAAAACTCTGTCACTTTCTTGCAGTCTTCAGAAGAGGATCTGAGGACTTCCTTTTTTTAACCAGAGCAGACAAATATTTCTGGCTCTAGAGCTGTTTATTATGCAAACTGCTTTAGTCACTGGTAGATTTTTAAATATAAACATAGTCAAAAGGCTGCTTCAGACACCTCTCCTGTGCGAAGAGGTGCTTGCCCCCAGCTCACGAGAATGGGATGAGAGGAGGCTCCTGGAGCAGCCAGAGGTTCACTGCCGGGCAGAGCCGCACAGCCTGAGCTTTGTGGTGGGGGCTGGCACGTCCAGAGCTGGGCACTGGAAATTCCTAAAAGCCCTTTCTTCTGAAGCAGCAGTTTTGTGTTAAAGATTACATATCTCCAGCCCCCCAAGAAGCCTTGCTCAGAAGGCCTCGCAAGAAAGGGAGCTGCTGCAACTCCGGTCAGAGGGAAGGATCACCACCTCTTCCAGCAGCTGCCATCTTCAAGGCATTTCTGAGCACACTTCTGGTTGCAGAAGGGAGCCTCCGAAGCGGCACGGGAGGCCACACACCTTGTATGTGGACCCAGCAAGCCGAGCTCTGCCTGCGAAGGGAGCTGCCCAGTTTGCGAGCTCAGGTCCTGATAACGACCACAGTGTCCCACAGGGTCAGCTGGAGGTCTGACCAGAGCCTGTGAGAAGCCGCTGCCCTGCCACCATTCCCCTGGCAGAACCCAAGAGGCAGGAAGAATTAGAACTTGTTCAGAGGTGTATCAAAGCGTAACACCCCCACAGCCCCCTATAACACCTCACAGCCCCCTTCCAAACCTATAACCTGCTCTGTGATGCTCCAACAGAACTGCAGCACCTTCCCTCACCCCCTTCACAGCTCACAACCCTCGATGGTGGGAGGCTCTAAGTGAAGGAAGGGAACAGCCCACAGAAGACACACTGCTGTACAGCCAGCCCTTTTGACAGCAGAGGCTGGCAATGACACACTGAAGGTGTGTGGACCTGCTTTGCTGGCAAAATCGTGTTCACCCCCGCCAAGATAAACGGGGAAATTCACAGCTCTGAGCACTGTGGTCTCGCTCTGCCTCTCTGAGGGCTCCCCGGGACAGCAGTACGTCACCATCAGGTTAATGTAGCCTAGGTGATTGCTTGCAAAACGAAACAGCTGGAAACGGCGCGTTTAAATTAAATCGTAAATCGTCCTGCGTATAAAAGCTGTAGGAAAGCCTCCGCTTCTTGGTCCTGGTGAATTGTGAGCTTTGATTTATTTGGTGCACTTGGGGCTTCTTGCTGTGTTCAGGCTCAGGGCACGCATTTTAAGAAAGAGGTGGGTGCCTTTTTCCTGACCAGCTTTGAGGCCGACACGATTCTGTGTCAGGATGGGATCCTGCGGCTTGCTCCAGCCCAAGTCCTCGCTTCTGTGCATGGAAATCTGCTTTCCAGACCAGGCCTGCATCCATGCTGTGACTTTGTAGGGTGCTTCATCCTCCGCTTCTGCTGGAAAAGGTCATCCCAAAGAGCGCACAGAACTACGCTTGCAGGATCTGAGAGAAGCAGGGACCCATTCCAGCTGGGAGCTGCTTCCAGGGCTCCTGCCTTCCCTGGGCACCACAGCCAGCACAGCCTCTGTGCTATCGTGGTGCTCAGGCCAGAGCAGGAGGCAGCAGGAGCCGAGTCCCGCCTGGTCCTCTGCTTGCCAGCATCCATCTGGGAGAGCAGGTGGCAGCACTGCAGCTCGTCACCTTGGCCAGGCCTGGGCATGGAGATGGTGCAGCTGCGGCCGTGCAGCAGCACGTCGCTGCTCCAAGTAGGTCACCAGCCAACAGGGGGAGGGAACACCACAGCACGTAGAACAGCTCGGGCTGTGATGTTTCAGACCTGGGAAATGGAAGGTAAAAACAAGTGGGAGGCTCTAGGACCTATACAGGACACGAAACCTGTGCATCCAAATCCCTGGATCCTTTGAAGCCCTTTTCCCAAGTCACTGCCTTGTTTTCAGCCTCACGTGAAGACATTGATGTAGTGTTCATTCAGTTAGGTCTTTTATATTCAACTTTACTACATGTATATACTGTTTTTTAAGTTTCACTGTGAAGCAGATTTTGTAAGTAAATAAAGTACTTGTCCTGATTGTTTGATAGCAATAGTCATAATAGTCATGTCTATGACCGTCCTTCAGAGTGCAGGAGGAGGCGCGCAATATTGCCAACTCCCCCGTTTCTTAGCAGTCCCAAGATATTTAAGCTTGCTTATTTTGTTTTCTATGATGTTCCTTCATAAGAATCTCGGCTTTTGCAGCTCTCTGTAACAAGTTTCTGGCACTAATGTTTTAGGGGAAAAATAATAATAATACAAAAAGCTTCTGAATACAAAACAAGTTCATTCTGCCAATGGAGAACTAACAAAAGACCAGTTACAAAACAGATTTAAACCCTAAAATCCCATCTTCAGAAGCCCGTTGTGATTTGTGTTTTAGCTCCACTGTAAAGGCTGTGGTTTGGCTACTTACATTGCTAGTCTACACTTTTTTTCACAGCCAGAGAGACCTGCCTGATGAGAAGGATTCCAGACCAGCGTAATCCTTGAACCCTGCTGTCAGTAGAACAAAGTGACACTTGTACGAAATAGGAGCAGTCAGATGTACGGCTCCCCTCTCACTTTTTATTAGGAGAATCTTCTCAAAACATTTGTACCTATTATGTACTGTTGAATGCTTTGGAAGCTCTTTATTTTACACTTTAATAAGCCACAGCAATTATTCACAGTTTTAGATGTAAGACAGGGGAGCAAATTAAGCAGAACCAGCAGATACCATTGTAAGTGGGAACTTGCAAAGGTCAGTCTTAATTACTGAGTTTCACCTGGGATGGGAGAGGCTTGCAGATGTCCTGGGGAATTATTTGTTACAAAATAAGAGCTGATATCAGTTGACGTTTATTATACCCTCATTTGCCTCGATTAGGGGAGCTACGGGTGGTAGAAAGGTTGGTTATATTATACACAATATAAAAAATGGGATGGGAAGAAGAGATTTTGGATTATAATCTAAAGAAGAAATAATTTCATTTTCTCCTGACAGCACACACAAAGTCCAGGTACATGTGCTGTGATTGGGGCTGCTGCCGCCTAATGCTGAACGCAGTCGGGTGCACATATTCCTCAGGAAAACCATGTGCTTACCATGGCAAGTGTAGGAGGCAATAGGATGGCTCTTTTTGAGCACTGTGTTGAAAGTATAATTGAGGTAAGGAACAATCTGCATCCCTGGAATTAATTTCTCATTAATTTAGGCTAGCCGGTTTCACCTCTTTTTCTCCCTCAACCCATTTTGGTCGCTATTTCTCACATAGTGACATAATTCTGTGATGCAGATTCCTGATACTGCAAGGAAAGGGTCCAAACGTTTCTATTTCTATCAGAACTGCTATTAAAAATACTCCGAGTTAAATTTGGTACCCACAGTTAATAAATGGTGCTCCTCCATGGTACAATGAGATAATATTTCCCCTGTCTGTAGTATTTTCCATCCAAAGGAAAGAAGAATCCCCATTTTGGGAAAGAAACTGCTCACTTGGAGTGCTTCCATTTCTGGAGCTGCGCCACGTGAAGAATGCTGGGCTGAGCTCCAGGAGATCTGAGCAGCCGAAAACCATCCAAAATATCGATGGGAGCTCTGATACTCATCACTGCACACCAGGCCAGATGCATCCCAGAGCCTGCCCCTGCCGCACCGGGGAGTGCTTTTGAAATGGGGGCTTGGAAAGCTTTGCTCAGATCAGCAGTGAGAGCTGAAAATTCAGCAGAGGCTCCTGGTGAGGACCCAGGTGCAGAGGCTGAGGCTGGCACCACCACAGACCCACCTTTAAGCCCACCTGAGGTGTTTTTCCCTAGTCCTATGTGCTTTCTCTATCCCTGCCCTGCTTCTGCATCCGTAATCCCCATTCTCCCAGACTCTGCCATGCTCACAGCCTCCTGCATACCAGCACACCAGAGCACCATTGCCCTTGTACCCCAAGACTCATGCCACAGACTGTAGCCCAGGGGCTCTGGGACAACGATGAGTCCAGCCCTCATCTCATCCCAGAGAGCTCAAGGAGAGCCCCTAAACCACAGGGAACATCCCTTTGCTCCCAGAGGGGTTTCAGCTAGTAGAGGTGCATTCAGAGCTTAAATCCTGAAAGATGTGCAAATAGCTCATCCCTGAGCCAGGAGGTGGCAGGTGGCCCTACTAATGGCTGGCAGCTTCCGTGCTCACCAAATTGCTGCTTTCACAGTGGCAGCGGGTGGGCTGGCAGGACTGCGTGGCAGCTCTGCACCTCGCTGCGTGCACCAGGCTGCTGGCGAGTCCCTGGGCTGGTTCGGGGGCCACCCCAGTCCCCTGGGCACCTCAGCTCCCTCTGCTCCCCACAGCAGCTTCGAGGGTTTCTGCTGTGCCATATCTGAGGGGGCAGACCCAGTGCCTGTCCCCATCTGGAGTCCTGGCTTTGGGGCTGTAAAAACTGCCTGCCGCCCCTGCTGCGCTCCAACTCCTCATCCCACAAGTGCTGCTGGCAGCCTCCTTACCAGCACAGGTGATGGGGTGAGAAATGCAGCCGTGGGATCCTCTGCTAACCAGCTGAGGATGATTCAAAGGAGCCAGGGCTTTTATTAGGCTTAACCCTATCGGCCTGATTAACAGCACGAGCACGCTGCCTGGGTGCAATGCTGCAGTGGGATGTGGTGGCTGCAGACTGTGCCATGCTGGGATGATAGGAAGTTTGGAAAATGCTTCTGTTTAAGCCTTGTGCCAGTCCCATTACAGGGGTTAAGGCTGCTACTTGTGTGAAAATGCTATTTCAGCTCTTTGACCCTAAACTGGAAAGTAACAGACCACTGTTGGAGTGATTCTGATCAAACTCGTACATTTTATCCAAATAGATAGCTCTATTTAAAAATATTTGTATTGCTCTTCATAAATTTAACTTGATATTAGCTAGAACACAAATATTTCCTAAAATAGCTTGCAATGTTAGTATTGTAACACAGCTACCAAATCGTAAGAGTAATCAGGAAATCCTGCAGAACCACAAGTGGAAATAACTGCTTCAGAGTAACTTTGTCAGGAAGGAGCTAGAGAAGGTACTTTATAAGGAAACAATAGTAAACCTCAAGTCATGAATGAAAGCAATCATGAAACAGAGTTTTAAAATAAAGAGTTTTTTATTGGACTAATGTATATATTTTAATTATCATTTCTAAAAGTGAGTTGTTGCCTTCAGTGGGTTTTAGATTCATAAACTCCTTAGACCCTTTGGGAACATTAATAAATGTTTGCACGTCCTGGAGAGACCTTCATAAAAAAAGAAAATCAAGATAAATATTGCCAGCACCAAGGATTTCACAGCCCCTTTCAAAAATCTACATCCCAGGAATAATAAGATTGAATTTTAAATAATGAGCGTAACTTTCTCCTGGAATTCTAATGTCTTGAAGATGTTATTTAGTGTGATTTTTATGATGAGGCAGAATAGAAACTTAGAGCCAATCTGCTCAATATAGCTGCGCTGATTTAACACAGTAGCAAATCAATTTAATTAGATCAGTGATTATACCTTATGTGAGCACACCTTCGTGCTAGAGGAGGCTGAAATGAGTGGGAAATTACTCCTTGAGGTTAGAAAGATGAACCCAACTGCAGACTTACACCTCCCATTCCCCCTGTCCTGGTTTCAGTTAGGACAGAGTTAATTTTCCTCCTAGTAGCTGGTAGGGTGCTGTGTTTCTGGCTTAGGACGAGACGAGTGCTGATAACACCCCGATGTTTTAATTGTTGCAGAGCAGTGCTTACACCATGCCAAGGATGTTTCAGCTTCTCGCTCTGTCCTGCCAGCGGGCAGGCTGGGGGTGCAGCAGGAGCTGGGAGGGGACAGACCCAGGACAGGTGACCCAAAGTGGCCAAAGGGGTATTCCGTACCGTATGGGGTCATGCTGAACGATATAGAGGGGTGGGGGACCGGACTGCTCGGGGTTAGGCTGGGCATCAGTCAGCGGATGGTGAGCGATTGCATTGTGCATCACTTGTTTCATACACATTATTAGTAGCAGTACTATTCTCATCATTATTGTTGTTATTATTATTATTTTCTGTCTGAATGAACTGTCTTTATCTCAACTCACAGGGCTTCACATTCCCATTTCTCTCCCCCATCCCAGAGAGAAACATGGTCTGTTTTCCTTTAAAACAGACCATTTTTTTTTCTGGACCAAAGTATGGAGTGGGGCAGGCAGGCTGCGAGGAGGGAAGGTGCTGTAATGTCTGGTGTCAAGGCAGCCAAGAGAAGTGGATGGAGGAACTCCTGAGGGGTAACCCCTGGTCCCCGACCACTGCCAGCAGCCCCCTGGGTCCCCAAGAGTCAGCAACACAGGGCAGCATGGACCGCAACCAGCCAGGGGATCAAGTCTTGGATCGGTGCCATCTACATCTATATCTATATTTACATAGAAAGGGATAAACAGACACAATCATGGCTTTAGAGAGCTCTGATGCTATGGAGATAGCACAGCAGCGTGGGTAAGCAGCTATCTGAACTGGTGTTTAATTTAATCGAAGGCTGCTGGCGGTGATGAGGGTGCTTCCTTTTTGTTACTGGTTTGGGCATCTGCAAGGAGCTCTGCGTGAGCAGCCCCGGTGCTTGCGTGGGAAACCAGGAGTGTAACACGGCACGGATACAGGCAGCTGGGGGCAGGATCAGTGCTTCTGCTCTCGGGTAGGCAGCATCTCTCTCCACGCAGCCCCGAGGTGCTGGCAGCACCTGTGGCACAGACAGCAGGTACTTCCTAAGCCCTTCGCCAGGGGGGTGCATCTGAATTCAGCACGGAACAGCGATTTCCACCCACGCTGCCCACAAAACCCACAGCCCCTGCAGTCCTGGGAACCGCTTTTTGGTGATCATGCTGAGAGCAAGCTAGATCAGAAGGAATAAATACAAGGTCTCCTGCGTGACTTGATGCTGATGGGCCCAACGTGGCTCAGAGAGGGGTTGGAAGTGTTTTCCCAGGCATGTGGGCAGAGCTGGGGCACACGAGATGCTGGGGTGCAGGATGTGTCACGTAACGGTGCGGCCACCTGGCACAGGCAGCTCCTGGCTCAATCCTGAAGAGTTCCCAGTGCCACCTCTTGCCTGGCCACCAGTGTGCTGCCTCCAACAGCACCCCTCTCCGCTGCTTGGGGGGATCCCATGGGGACACCCGACCTCAGTGCATGTGGATGGAGAGGTGCTGAGCTCTGTGAGGCCACGGATGTGAGCCCATCTGGGTCTGGGGGCAATGGCAGGGTGAGGAGGAGCAGGGGGCTTTGCCAGGACAGGCAGGAGCAATGCACTGGGTTGCTTTGGAGGTGGGGGTGCACGTACTGCTCCCAGGCACAGCAGGTAGCAGCACCCAGCCCAGCACTCAGACATCAACCCCTTCCTCCCAGCAATGGGCCAGCACGCTGCAAAACTGCATCCCATACAGACCCTGCCCAAAGCCCACCACGTCCTGGGTCCTGCTGTGCTCTGTCTCACCCTGCTCTGCTCTGACCGCACCAGCAGCTCTGGAGTTACTTCTGATTTACACCTCATCTGGCCTCATTTTCTTTTTTTTCTCCTTTGTACCAAATTACAGGCATGTGTCTGAGATCCAATTATTTTCATGGCCGTTATAAAGGCTAATAAACTTCAGCAACACCTCTGGAAGCCCCAGCCGCCCTGTTTGTGTGTCTGTGCAGCCCCAGGGCAAGAAGCATCCATACTGTCAGCACTTACAGACTGCTACAGGCACCCTGGGGGCAGTCAGGATGTGGTTATATTGCTTAAGACCATGCAATGCAATCGCTTGGCCAGTAATTTAAATATAATGCAGCGGAATAGCACCAGCCCAAATTGCCATGAGCAAGAGAGAGGAGAGGCAGGTCTGGGGGCAGGAGCAGCGGAGCAGGCAGAGGTATTTTCTGCTTCAGTTAGAGAAGGATATTTGCTGGCCCCTGAGCACGAACGGAAATTTATGGGCAAGAAGGTGCTTTTGCCCTTTTTCCTTCCGTCTGTTCCTATTTTGACCAGGGTAATCTCACCAGGATGAATTGCAGCTCCTTGCCCAGTGGGTGAGATTTCAAAGCCTGGTGTCCTTCACTAAGCCTGGGCAGTTTTTGTCAGGCTGAGCCCATTTTCAGGCATTAAAGGGTTTGGGTGCTTTCTGCTGCCTGTCTCACTTCACCATTTCCCCATGGTGCAAACCCCACTTGCTGTGAACCTTCTGCCCCTCCTGCCCTAGGTGTACTGGGGCAGCAGGGAGGGAGGTGGCAACTGGCAGAGTCACACCAACATGTCCCTTGCTCCATGTCCCAGGGGCAGCTGCCCCTTTCCTTGGAGCCGCTGACGGTCAGAGTCACCGACAAAGGCAGGAGATGCCCCGAATACAAGTGCAGCCGGCTGGAAATCTCTGCAGCCCTCGGTGCCCTGACCTCTGGGGCCCCAGCCTCCCATTAGCATTGCCTTTGTGCTGGAAGGGGCTTTTCTGGCTCCTAGCACTGCTGCCCGATGGAGGGATCTGGATGCGATCAGCTTTCGGGTGAGGGGGGCGATAGATAGGAGCCGCTCGCTGCAAACATCTGGACTGCAGAAGTCCCAGCAGACGTGCTCAGGAGCATGGCTGGGAGAGAGGCTCTGCAGCTGAGCAGCTGCAGCTCAGCTCTGAGGCTTTGCGACCTGATTTATCACCAGCCCTCTGCCTGCTCTAGGGCAGTGTTGCAGGGACCTCAGTGCAGAGCCAGCTCAGCTCTCCCCACGTTCATTTTTCAGAAGGGAACCCCGAGTCCCACTCTCCCCACTGGCCCTTCGTGGCTGCAGCCAAGTCACTGGGACTAACGCAGGCTGGGGGACCACGGTCAGGACGTGCAGGGGGCACAGGGCTGAGCGTGCAGGGCTTTGGAGCCAGGAATAATCAGCAAGCACAGAGCAGCCAGTGCACACGTGTCGCGGGTCTCCTCTGGTCATTACCGAGCCCTGCAGAGCAGATCCGCGGTGTTCCACGTGGGACTGCTGAAAGCTCCCGGTATCAAATGTCAGAAACGCTGGCCTTGCCAGTGCTGGGAGCAGAGGGCACCTGCTTGGATTTTCTTGCTTTCAGACTGATCAGTTTTAGAATTCAGAACTTGCGACCTCTTTTATTTTTTCACATTTCATTCATCTTGGTGGATGAAAATAGCCTACACAGTTTCAATTCTCTTTTTTTTTTTTCTTTTTTCATTTTTGTTTTTTTAAAATCATTCAAGTTTCATTCTCAGACAACCCCTTTGCTGCAGAAAGAATAAATGTGTCTTTAAGAGCTCTGCCTTGGTTTAAAAGCTACTGGGAGCATGGCCCAAATAAGTGTTACCTCTCCGTGCCCTGTGCCCATAAATCCAGCCTGTGTGCCCTGGCTGCCAATCTTTCCCAAAGCTAGCCAAAATCTGAAACCAAGTGATACATGGTAAGGGCTTATTTTTGCAATTAATAAAGTGATTAACAGAGGTGATTCTGAATTGGCAGAAAATTCCTGGGCTGTGTGTGCGGAGGCTGCTCTGTGTATGGGACAAGGGAAGCATTGTGGCACCATGTTTACCCAGCCCCGA